GAAAACCGCGGTTTCATCGCACACCACCGCGGTGTCAATTCGATAACCGCTGAAAACCGCGGTTCACAGCGGTTTCTTGCACCGCGTTCACAAAAAACCGCGGTGTGTGCACTCGTAACCGCGGTTTCAAATTTAGCGTTTATTACCGGTTTTATAAACCGCGTTGCATGCACTGATAACCGCGGTTTTCATTATACCGGTTATTACCGGTTTTATAAACCGCGGTTTACTGCATCATAATTGCGGTTTCAAATATAGCGGTTATCACCGGTTTCATAAACCGCGGTTTACTGTATCGTAACCGCGGTTTCAAATATAGCGGTTATTACCGATTTTATAAACCGCATTGCATGCACTGACAACCGAGGTTTTCATTATACCGGTTATTACCAGTTTTATAAACCGCCGTTTACTGCATCATAACCGCGGTTTCAAATATAGCGGTTATCACCGGTTTCATAAACCGCGGTTTACTGCATCATAATCGCGGTTTCAAATATAGCGGTTATCACCGGTTTCATAAACCGCGGTTTACTGTATCGTAACCGCGGTTTCAAATATAGCGGTTATTACCGATTTTATAAACCGCGGTTTACTGCATCATAACCACGGTTTCAATTCTAGCGGTTATCACCGGTTTTATAAACCGCGGTTTACTATATGATAACGGCGGTTTCACATATAACGGTTTTTAGTGGTTTTTTCCGACCCCGGTGTGTGCAGTTATAAGCGCGGTAAGTTTGGTTAGGATGTATGAAATGGCTATCGATTTCAATTACACTGGCTTACGTTCAGTCATGATTTAGGTTGATTTAACAGTTGATGCTTGATTGAGGTGAACTAGTTGAGTATGTGGTTTGCTTGTACTATATCGTAATGCAAATTGAGGAAGCGAACTGATAATAATTGCTGCAGGTAATAGTGATCTGAAATCGTATATATTGGAAAAAGTATCGAAGTGAAGTTAAAAAAGTAGCGTTCATGTTTTAAGAAACTTGATTGAAAGAGATAAATGTTAATCAAGACATTTCGTAATGGTTATTTTGCACAAGAGTATTATTTCGGAAAAGTACGATGATGTGAAAGTTAGAAAATTATGATGATTCGTTGAAATTTGGGTAGCGAGCAAAATAACAAGTCTCGTTACTATTGTAGAAGCACCCTTTTTCAATAACATTTTCCGTTGATATTAAATGCATCTCTTTCGCTGCGAATTTTTACATGCAGTCTCTTAACATACGAAGAGTGATTTTTGAAAAGATGTTCAAAGAAAATAATCGTAATACAAAAGATGATAACACAAATTTAACCTGCAAATGTAAATCAGAACGTTAACATATTAAAAACATACTCCAAAAAATTTTAAATTTAGCGTTTAACAGCGGTTCCTAGAATGGCACTCACGGAACATTTTTTAAAAAGAAACCGCGATTAACAGCGGTTTGTCGCACCGCATTCTAAACGAACCACGGTTTCGAGTGTTGCGGTTATCACCGGTTTTATAAACCGCGGTTTACTGTATCATAACCGCGGTTTAAAGGAAGAGAAGGGTCAGGAAAGTGAAGGAAGAGTGGGGACGTAGTTAGAATTTTCTTGAAGTGCTCAAATGCAGCTTGCTGCTCCGCGTGCCTATAAAACTCATGTCGTTTGGCACGAGTCTTATTGGTAATTTTATGTAAAGGAGCAGCTATAGCTGCAAAATTATCTATGCATTTTCGATAGTACCCTATTTTACCTAAAAATCGATTTGCCTGTGATAAAGTGCGAGGTGGTTGGATATCAAGGATAGCCTGAACTTTTTCTGGTGTTGGTTGAACAGTAGTGGCAGTAACTATGTGACCAAGAAACTCAATTTGTGGAGCTGCAATTTGACACTTAGAAGAGGATACCTTGAAATGAGCATTGCTTAGAATTGATAAGACTTCATCTACATGACGTTGATGTTTCTCAAGTGAATGAGAAAAGACAACAATGTCATCAAGATAAATGACTGCATAGTCCCATCTACCGGTAGCAAGTAAATTATTCATAACACGCTGAAAACTAGCGGGAGCATTTATGAGATCTTGAGGAAGTACATTGAACTCGTAATGACCGTCAGGTGTTACAAACGCTGTTTTTTTCTTGTCGTCTTCAGCAATAGGTATTTGAAAATATCCACTTTTTAAATCAATTTTTGTAAAGTAACTATGTCCAGAGAGACGGTAGATTAACTCTTCAGAAGATGGCTGTGGATAAGTGTCTTTTTTTGTTATAGAGTTAAGGCGACGAAAATCAACAAGAAAACGAAATGTACCATCAGGTTTCTTTTTCAAAATAACAGGAGACGACCAAGGGGAAGTGGACGGACGAATTATATGATCTAACAGGAGTTTATCAGCTTCTTGTTGCAGTTCTCTACGCTGTTCGACAGTACGATAGTATGAACGAGTACTATTCGGGGAGTGGTCTCCGGTGACTATGACATGAGGAAGCTGAGTTTTAGCAGTAGTATGTTTCGACAAGTCGAATACGGTGCGATGCCGTTGTAGGATGTTATAGAAAATTTGTTTTCCTTCAGTGTCAGTTATGGAACTAACTAAATCGTCAATAATAGAATCTATATCCGAGGGATTGTGAGTAATTTTGGGTTGAATAGAAGAGAGAGTAACTAAAGATGAATTAGAAAGTGGGAACCATGTGGAAGATGGAAGAGATGTGATTTTGATTGGAACCGGAGACGAAGGAAAGAAACTAATATTACCAAGAATCGTACCTTTACGCAACTTGGATGGAGTCTTAGCAAGATTAGAGATAAGGATGGAAGTGTGAAAAGTATTTACACGTAAAATAGCGTCTGGAATAAAAATATTCTTTTTCTTACATAAAATTGTATCAGGTGTATAAGAGACTTGAGAAGCAGATGAGATAGGTGTGAGTAAACAAACAATATGTTCATGATAAGGAGCGAGTTGTATGGATTGAGCAAGACGAACTGGAATGGAGATGTTATCTTGAAATTGAACAGTTGTTTGACCATATTGAGGATGATGGAGAAGAAGTTCTTGTTGAGGTATACGAAGTACTACGTTATATTGACGACACCAGTCCATACCAAGGATAAGATCGACACTTAATGAACCAACAACAACAACAGAAACATATGTAGGAATGTGATTAACACAAATACACAATCGGACTATTCCATGAAGTGATATAGTGGTATTAGCATCACCAAGCACTGCGGTAGTGATAGAGGTTTTTTGAATAGGAGAATGAGAAAAGGTGTTAAGGAGAGAACGAGTGATTAAAGTATGTGTAGCATCGGTATCAAGCATTGAATGTACAATCGAGCCATTGATAGTAACAGGAATGGTAATAAGTGATGGATTTATAGCATGAATGGAGGGACGACCATCACGAACCCCCTTTAATCTTTTGGGCGAGACGAACATTGATTGGATATATGACCAGATCGACCGCATGAATAACAGACAATAGGACGACGAGAGAATATTGACGAGTTAACATCGGGATATGTATGATACGGATATTGAGACGAAGGAGAAGTAACCAATGAAGGATAATTAGTTGTGTTGTTGTACGACGGACCAGAGTACGTGGTAGACATTAAAGGTGGTTGGTACGATGGTGTGTATGGTGATGGAAACCGATGTTGATAGTGCCTTTGTTGATTAGAACGGTTCGCATAGTTAGAATATGATGGTGACGTATTTTGACGAACAGTTGAGGTACGTTTTCGAGCATCAAGAACCGCAGTATCGAGTTCAATACGTTGGGCACGATTAAGCAAAAGTTGCGGTGTAATAAAATCCTCACCTTGTAACCGTTCATATAAGGTAATTTTCATGCCCGCTTTTAGCCAGTCAATGATTTGAAGGTCAGTCATGTCAGTATCATGTTTTCGATATAGATCAATAATAGATGCATAATATTCGGTGAAAGATTCGTTATCACCTTGTTTTCTATCTTTTAACAATTGTAGGTTCATGTCACGAGAAGTAGTGACAATTTGAGGGAAAGCATCTGCTATTGCATTCGTATAATCATCCCAAGATAAAAGATCTTCCCGATGTGTGAGATGCCATTTTAAAGCGTTTCCAGCTAAATATTGTGGTAGGAATCGACGTTTTTGACGAGAGTCATAGCCAATAATATCAAATTTTAGCGATACAATATCTAACCATTCCGTGATATTTTCTTTTGGCTGTCCAGAAAAAATCGGAATGCTATCAATAATTTTACCGTATTGTTGTTCTTCCATAGTGATAATAGAATGACTGACGTCCAACTTGAAATGAGATGAATTATCTTTGGATAGAGACCTGGATCGAGAGTGAGTGTCGTGACGTATGTTTCTTTCTTCGGCTTATATGGCTCTTCGTTCGCGAGCTTTCTGTAGTTCTTCTGCAAGCATATACTAGAATGTGGTTTAAGTTTGAATAATCGATCTACTGATCAGTGGTTTCAGCAGACCGGCCAGTGCACCATTGTGAAGACTAATTTGTATTTCAATCAGATAAAACCAGCACAAAGAATGAAGCACAGATGACAATCGAAGATGTACAGGGAGAGCACACACGCTTTTCACAAAGCTCGAGTATATATATATTTCTGAGCCAAGACTCCTGAGTCAAGCATCCCATGTTCATGACTCAAAGAATCCTGACTCAGAAGAAATAAACAAAATACAAAGCATGTGGTATCATGGCTGAAGGCCATGACAACCACTTATTAACCGATGCCATCAATCGTACTTATTCCGACAAGATTTGCAAAGATAATCTCCTATTTTCACATGCCTTTCGGTCTTAACCGCTGAGTACTTACGATCACCTTCACGAATTCGATTTTCGCACACACAGCATTCAACTTTTCCTTCATGAGGCATAATAAAATACGTATTCTCAAATAATATAACACTGTTATAGATATGTGGCCCTTTTTTTCAATTTAACAGCTAAACGTTCTTATTACTGGCTCTGATAAAATAATAATGACGTTATGTGTTTAGTATTGCGCTTAATCATATGTTGTTCGCACTTTCACGTATAATATGCGTTCCTGCTGGTATGCAGCTTCATTGTTTTTTTCTCTTTCTTCTTCCCCATGATTCTCACGGGTCCTTTGCGTATCCATTTTTTGATCATAGAGAAGAAAAACAATAACCAAGATTTCTTAATTTGTATTTGACAGACTACATCTACACTATGTTTTTTTTTGCACCCTGTTTTTCTGTGCATGCATGATCACCAAATAGTATTAAATTGATTCAGAGAGTATCAATAGTAGATTCATATCAGATATAACTATAATTCGTAAACTCCTTCTTCACGAATTCCAATAGACAGTGTGTGAATGCGACAATATTTAAATGAATGTCTTTAGAAAAATCGTATGGCTTTTTTAACCGAAATAAGTAAAATCCAAATAAACCTGATCACCACTAGAGCGATGAAGACGATAGTCTTCATACAATTATCTAACATAATTAAAATAACCTAGATGTCAATGATAATATGAATCGCGTATAACAATTGATGTCACATTTGACTTTCCAAAAAAATAACAAGAACAGGAAATGGTATCCTCTTCATACGGATTTACAAAAATAATATGTACCTATTTGCTTATAGTGCTTCTATTTTTCTGATTCTACAAATATGAGGTTTTTATAGTTGACAGAAAAGACCATCTAACGACTTATAAAAGAGTTGACTTAAAAAAGATTTTTGAACGGACCGTAAATCAAACATGTTATACTACATGTAAAAATGGACATACTTTTTACTTTGTGATCTTGGACTTTTTGATGGACCCACCTTTGTATAATTTTAAAAATTATAGGATTTTGTAGCCCGTGAAAAGAGCTATCCGAGGAGATATAATTGAAGCTGACTTTCTTGAATTTATATAGAGGAAACTAATCTAAAAGGCTATAATGTCATTACTATGTATTCGTAATAAGGTCATTCGAAATGATAAGGTAGGAAGTCCTTAAATGTATTGGAAAGTACTCGCCAGTTGAAGCTCTTTCATTCTATATATGATTGTGCTGGATATCGTGTGAAAAGTCCAATGGGGCAAATTACGGTCTTATGCGCCCCTGTCCTTTCTTTCTCTTTTGTTTGATATTTTAACTTCGTAAGAATTCCATTGGTAGATTTCTTTTTAAAGTCATCATTGTATGTTTTCAACAAAGAAACTATTCAACAAGTTACATTGTGTATTATAGACCTGTCTTTTATTGTGAATAAGAAGTAGAAAGTCATCGTTTGCCGGAATGGTCAATGTTCTTATAATATATATTTTTATTTTGTTTTAAAAAAGGATTAAAAAAAACTTATCACATAAAATCAGTAGTTTCTTAATGTGTTACATGTAACGGTTTTCTTTTTTTGTCCCGAGTATTTTCTTCATTATCTCTAGGAAATGTATCTAATGGTCGTCTACCCGATACTTGAAATAAAAGCCATTCGGACAACCATTCTGGTAACAAAAAATCATTGATAAAACCAATATATTTTATATGATACGGTAATATAACTTCATTTCGACGCCATGCAATAGCTTCTAATACTTGACTAGCAGCATAACGTGGAGAAACAATAGGCAACAAAAATTTTAATGAAACATAATTTACTAATGGATTAAACATTTTTGTTCTCATTATATATGGGCAAATACAATGAACAGATACACTTGTATTTGGATATGTAGCATGAATATCAAGACGAAGTGATCGACTAAGACCTAAACTAGCATGTTTTGATGACACATAACTTATTGGACCATGAGAAGCATGAATACCTAGAATTAATAAAATAAATAAATGAATGAATGAATGAAATTATATATATTTGAAATTTTTATACCAAGAACACTTGAAACAATAACAATATGTCCGCGATTAGCATCAAGCATGTATGGTAAAAATGCTTTAATTAACCAAATAGGTGAAAGCGAATTAACATGAAATGTACGTTCAACCTCTGTATCAGTTTCATTTAATAATGATCGTCCACTAACAAAACCAGCATTAGCAACAAGTATAGTTACTTGTCCAAGATCATAACGAACTTTTTCAGCACATGCATATATATCGGTGGAATGTGTTACATCAAGATGATAGAGTCGTACACGACTTGATGAATTTCGATTATGTAATATTGTTAAACATTGTTGTTGAGTTTCACGATTTCCTATATAAATATAATATATTTTTTTTCGTTTTTAAATTTTATAAATAATAATTTTCCTACCAACATCATCTACATCACAAAGTGCTAATGAAGCACCAGCTCTTGCAAATGCTAATGCTATTTCTCTTCCAAGACCATTTGCTGAACCAGTTATAAGTACAATATGATCATGATAATCATGAACAGTTGGTTGAAAACCTAACCATTGTAAACAACGATAAAAGATAAGAAATGTTACAGCTAATGGATAAAGTATTAAATTGATCAAAAGGCGTAGAAAACCGAGTAAATCAATCATTGATATGTTCAACAATAGTTTTTTTATTTGAAATAAAACAAAACAAAAATAAGTGACAAGAAAAGTATTCTATTTGAATATTCTTTAATCTTTTATTTCTTTTTTTTTTTCATCTTATCAATAAGTCAACTAAAAAAGTACATAGGTCATTTAAGTTATATTAAAAAAAGAGATTTCTTAAAAGATTTTTCATCATCGATATATAATAAAGAACAGATTATCATATGAATTCTTGAAATATTAAGAAAACTTTGTTTAAAATGCTCACAGAATGTAAATATTGTATTTTAATACAGATAACAAGGTTAAAGTTTTCGACTAAATTTATGAAAGGTCATATGATCCGTAAATTTAATCTTTGTTATATCAACTGTCGGCAAACAGAAAGTATGCTATGTATCTGCCACGTAGCTCTGTGATACGGTAACGTGAAGAAAAAAAAAGAAAGTTTAGCAAAAGATGAGATTATAAAAGCTATGATTTTGAGTATATGAATATACAAATTTTCAAACTAAAGAATTATTTTTGAATATTGCCTTCAATAAAGAGTTTTTGAAAATAGATAGAAGTAAATGATTAATCAATCTAGTTTATAAATGAAGTCAAATTTTGATTGGATAACCTTAGAGGACACGTTTATGTGGTTATTAATGGTAGAGTATGAGTAAACAATGATACTAACGAAATGTCTTATCTCATCCACTATAATTCAAAACTTTTATTCGCTTGTCTCCAAACTAATCATAATTTACTTCTGATATTATAAACAAACTAAACAACATCCGATGCAATCTACTATAGATAGAGTGCGTTCTACAATCACTTTATTCAAAGAGAAAAAAAAATCGACTACGTATATCATGATTTAACCAAAAAGAGTGTTGTTGTTAGTGATTGAGTAAAAATATGTAGAATAGAAAAGAATATTATATATCCAATTACACTTTGTATCAAAAATATCAAATTGTATTTTAATTGATACCAGTTTTTATGCTATCTGTTTGAAATCAGCATAAAAACCAATCTTATGCAACAATCAATATCAGAGAAGAGAAATTCAGAGTGAGAACAAATACTATGTCACTATAAATTTTATAAAAATTGTTCTTGGGGAAAAAGAACTTATAACCACCAGATTATTTATGACTTAAATCTGCAATTGTTTATGAAATCTTTTTGAAAATCAAATTATTCCTAAGTAAATTTATGTTTTATCATTATACTACCACACGCTAGTTTTTTCACTTATTGAAAACTTATCAACGAGTATTATGAAACAGCAAAATTGCAAAATCTAACTTCTGATTGTATAAATATTTTGAAAAAAAAAATGAATATAGACTGAACATTTCGAAGAAAAAATGTAGGTATATCACACTTCTCTCTGAAACAATACCTATCTCGTACATATTCTATGAAAAAAAAAACTCCTAAATTCTAGTTTATAATAGAAACAACAATATAAAATCAAAAGGATTAGATAAATATATAGTTTCCAAAAAACTCGTCGGGATAATAAACGTAAATATCTTGTTTAACACTTTAAGGTGATTTCATTGTCTTTTAAATCATATGATAGTATGCTCCTTGAAGTTTTATTTCTGATAATTCGTTTTTCAAGAAATGTTCACACTGATGATCGTCAATTAAAATAAATCAACTTGTCATTTTCGAAATATTAGAAGAAAAAAAAGATCTTATACGACTATATTTTTATTAATTTATTTTTGTTATTGATACTTGTTTTAAATTAAACCTAATGTTCAATAAATATTATATATAGACATCAATTTTTTATTTTATTGTCATAAATAAACTCATTAGAATGAAACCTAACTTTGTTCGAAAGAAAAGGTTTCTCATAATGACTAGTATTCTCAAATTCTTGTATCAGTGTTTAACACATTTTAGTCCAATCTAATAAATTATTATCGTGAAGTTTTTCATCGAATTGCGTCTATTGTGAATTTGATAAAAGATTATGAGTTACAAATCAAAGTACAGTCGTCCGTGAACAAACAACAATATGCTGCTACATGTCAAACATTTGAATGTGAATCTTCGTTTACTTCTTTTTCTGCAAGTTGTAAAAGTATTTTAAGAAAACGGTTGATTCGCGATCATCTCAGTTTCAAAATTAAAACGTTATAAGTATCTTTAATGTAATACAGTGTTGATTCTTTCTTTTTTAAATTCGACAAACAATGGTGTTTTTCATGATCGCAGATGATCTATATTTTAATTTTTAAGAAAATTTTTTCTATTCAAACGTTTCTAGACACAGGCATTTATCTGTTAATGTGTTGAATAAAACTTCGAAGGACATTCTTTCATGTTATAAAAATTGTTTGAGCTATGGACGAGAGATTTTACGTTTATTTTTTTGGATCTAAGATGCAATTGGTGCCGAGGACTAGTCTAACTTATTTACTTTCTTGCTTTTACTAAATAAACATATGTATGTAGTGAATTTAATTTGTAAGTTGATTACATCAAATGAGTCTATCGAGTTGGTGCTAAATCCGGCCAGGTTCGAGTATAAAAGTTTTCTGTTAACTGGGTGGAACGGATTCTACTATCTAGAGATGCAATCGATACTTGATGTTAAAAATTCAAGCCGCTTTCATCTCTACTCTGAATATAATTCAGGACTTGGTGCTTACATTCATAGATAAATAAAAAGTGTGTTTGCCATACTGATAAAAAAAACCATCAATCCGTTAGGTGTCGCTTGATGACGGTATTCAACGAATTTGTAAGGTGCCAATTGTGTTTTTATTGTTTATGACAAATACCAACCAACATATCCATAGTATTCACCGTACTGATTCATTCTTATTGACAGATTTATTTGCAATTGTGCGTGTGGATAGTTCAATCATAATTATTTACATTCTTTAGAATATATCAAATTATATTTAATATCGTGAGTATTAAGTTTTTATTTTTATTTTTATTCTTTATTAGAATTTCCCATTTAATATTTGTTAAACATGAACTATTTTTATTTTAATTTTATAATTAAAAATTAATCATAAAAATTGTCTCTAGACAAATGTCCTTGTTTAGAAGTTCATCTACGTACTACAAGATCAATCATATACACAATCAGACGTTTCATTTTCCATGTTATATTTTACAAAAAATATCATAGTTTCTTATTCTAGGAGTGGAAAAAAAGAATCTACTTCTGCTATGCAATCAAGTTAGAATATTCTCATATTCTATTCTTTTAATATTTATTTCTCTAGGCTTTATTTTCTTTTTCTCTCTGTATCAATTTTTTTATACAGAGGTAAAATAGTTTTTAAAACAAAAAGTAAAATTTATTTATTCTATTTTATTGTTTTTTTTTTAATTTTATATTTAAGAAAGGAAATGGATGATGATATAGAAATTGAACGTATGTTAGAAGAAAAAATGCAAGAAGATGTACAAAAGAAAGTACACGAACAAACAATAAATAAAACAAATGAAAAAAAGGACAAAGACAAAGACAAAGATAAAGATAAAAAACATAAAAAACATCACAAACATCATAAACATCACAAGTCACATAAAAGTGATAAAAAACATGAACGTAAACGAAGTCGTTCACCAATTGATCGTCGTCCTCAATCACCAACACCAACAACATTACCTAGTGGAAAACGACGAGATGTTAATTCTGAATTACATCAATTAGCTAAAACAATGGGTCGTCCAAAACAACCCAAAGAAAATATATCTACATCAAAACCTAATCGACGAGAAAAATCACCAGAATTAACACCAGAAGAACGTGATCTTCGTACTGTATTTTGTAAGAACAAGTTTTTATTATTATTTTGTTCTACTAAACGGTATTAAGGATTAGGATAGAACGTAATTCACTTAAAATTTTAATCTTAGGAATTTAAATTACTAGGTGTATAGTTTCATGATAGAGGATTTGAATAGAAATTTTTAGTGATGAGCAAAGGATTGAAAATTAATGCTAATAGATTTTTCAAACATCAGAATAATTTTTAGGAGTGATCGGAGCTCTCTAAATTCCTTCCAAGTAAATTAGGTTGAACACTTCAGGTTTATTGAAATAGCGAGTTTTATTCTTTGCCATGCATTGTATAAACTAATGTATTTTAAAGACTCGATTCACGTTTCTTCGAGACTTTATAAAGTTAGGGAAAAGTCAGAGTCAAGAATGATTCCGACTTCTTCTCATGAGCACATACTTGAAAGAGCTACCAATTGAATCTGTTGAACAGTCTATCATTGATAGAAAAAGATAGCTTTGTATCAAACGACGGATTATGTTGAATTTCGAGTTTGTTTGATTTCCTACCGAATCGTTCTTTACTTCTCAAAGTTACGTAATTTTCTTAATTCTATACTTATCGAAATTTTCAATGTTTCTAAAAACTTTTGATTTGCACTGCTATGTGATTATCGAGCTTCTGAAAATTTTCTTAATTTCCTTTTTCGAAAAGTTGAACACATGTCACATCTAGACAAAATATTGCCCAACATAAGATGATGGATGTGTAGGTGTCCATGTGAATATGAGTCTTCTTTTGATTTCACAACCTTGATGTTTTTTCTTTCTTTGTTTTTCTATATATTCTTCCATTTTATCCAAGCGATGTATATATATTAATCGTGTTAAAATCATAAGTTTAATTTTCTTAATTAACATAGACTTATATTTTTGTTTGTTAATCAGGTATGCAATTAGCAGCAATGATCCGTCCACGTGATCTTGAAGAATTTTTTTCTCGTGTTGGTAAAGTTCGTGACGTTCGTTTAATAACAGATCCTCGAACACGTCGATCAAAAGGTGTCGCATATGTTGAATTTCGTGATTTAACTTGTGTTCAAGCTGCACTTGCTTTATCTGGTGAAAAACTTCTTGGCATACCAATTATAGTTAAACCATCAAATGCTGAAAAAAATCGTTTAGCAGCACAAGCAGCTGCTGCTCAAAATTCCGTTCTAACTAATGGAGCAGCACAAAATCCAGGATCGATGATACCAACACATGGACCTATGAAATTATATGTCGGATCACTTCATTTTAATATAAGTGAAGATATGTTACGAGGAATATTTGAACCGTTTGGTCGTATTGATAGTGTTACACTTATGAAAGATCCTGATACAGGTCGATCACGAGGATATGGTAATCAAAAACTTTAAAAAAGATATTTGTGTTTTTATTAAAACTGAATATATGACTTTCTTCGTTTGTTTCTATAGGTTTTATTCAATTCGCTCATGCTGAAGATGCTAAAAAAGCAATGGAAAATTTAAATGGTTTTGAATTAGCAGGACGACCTATCAAAGTTGGTCATGTTACTGAACGACTCGGAGAAATGACAGGTTCAACTGGTGTAAGCTTTCCAACATATACTGCTGGCATTCAAACATCATTTGCATCATCATCAAATCTTGATTCCGATGATCTTGATCAACGTGGTATTAATTTAGGTGCAACTGGACGTTTAGCTTTAATGGCGAAATTAAGTGAAGGTAGTGGTTTACAAATGCCAAAACATGCTATTGATGCTTTACAAGCAGCACATATTCAAGCAGCGAGTTCTCAACATGTTCGTATACCTGAGCCACCTAATTCACAACAATTAGCAACAGTAACAGCTGTTGGTACACAATGTTTTATGCTTTCAAATATGTTTGATCCAGTTGCTGAAGCTCGAAATCCTCGTTGGACACAAGAAATACGTGATGAAGTTATTGAAGAATGTAATAAACACGGTGGTGTTGTGCATATTTATGTTGATGAGAAAAGTCCCGATGGAAATGTTTATGTTAAATGTTCAACTATTGCTAGTGGTAAATATTAATTTTGTTTTAAAAATAAGGATCTTTTATGTTTTTATTGTACTGTTTAGATGGGAGAGAATAAATAGAGGTTTCTTTTTCTCTTATAATCGACTAAATGATAAATAGATAGCATGAAAATTAAGTAATGGTCGTTGTAGATTAACAGATTTTATTATTCAAAAATTTCGTCTACGTAAACTTTGTTCTTTTTTTTTGAATTAAAAAAAGTAGAGCACGATCCACAAAGAGTACTGAAGTTTTAGAGTAGAAATTTGACTCGCCCCCCCCCCCCTCCCCCCCCCCNTTTTTTTTTTAAGAATAAAAAAAGAAGACACGCACCCCCCAAGAAACGCGAGTTTTTAGAAAGGAAGTCTGCCCCCCCCCCCCCCCCCCCCCCCCCGAGACCATGACAGGCGTTGACATACGGCCACACACTGTGCGTCAATAGCATCTCGTCATTATATAGGAACTACTTTCTTATTGTATTTCGATAGTATTAAGTAAAAAGATTGGCAAAGAAATATGTCCCAAAATAGATACAATAAAACGACTTTTGTGCGATAATCAACAACAGTTATATCGTGTTTGGCATTTCAATCTCAAGGGATTGTGCTAAGAGATTTGTTATATTTATTACAGAGCTCGAAATAGACTGAATATTACAGACTCGATTTAGACTCAAAACAAGGTTAAATCAATCAAAACATGTTGGAAATTTACATTTAAATTGTTAACACAACCTTATTGAACATTAGCTTTAGAGATTTAAAGCACTAATTTTTACATAGTACTTTATATGTTCTTTTGTATACTGAAGTTCGAATTTCAATTCAGACAATAAATAATTCAATATATCAAACACTAGGATATCTCTCAAATAAAATTCAGCTTGATAAATTTTTACAAAATAAACTATAATGAATTTTTGAACTATTGTTCAGATTTAAAATCGTTGAATACACACACAACAGGCGCATTTTTTCACATTGGAAAATAACCATTTCTTAACGCCCTCCCCCTCAAAAATCTATTTCAGCCCAGGAACGTCCGAATTAGATGAAACTTTCAGGATATGTTGGGGTTGGAAACAGAAGACTACCATAAAATTTTCAGGTTTCAGGGAGATATGAACAAAAAAAGGGTCAAAAATGACTCATTTGGCATTCCAAATTTCTCGGTCCTAATTCGGTCAACATATTAATACTTTTTCTTTTGTTGGAAGGAGCATCTCACGGCGCAGGGCATGACGAGGCCGTTTTTTTTTTCAAACAGTCCTTTTTTAAGCGCAAGAAAACGACCACAAGTTCAATGACTTAAAAATATATCAAAAAATAGTAGCAAAATCATATAAATGGCTGTATATTAACCAAACAAAGGCTTAATTCAAGAAAAATGGCATGGTCATGCCCTGCGCTTTGAGATGCTCTTTCAAACAAAAAAAAATTTTAATACATTGAACGAATCTGGAAGGAGAAATTTGGGATGCGCTTTTGAGAAAGCGAAAACTGAGAAAACACGAAAAACATTTTTTGATTTTTCAAAAAACAGCTGGTTTTTCGAATAGGGGTTGACGGAAATCTTGAGAATTTTTTGGGAAAAATGAAGCAACGCGAAAAACACATTATCTTTTATGAAAGAGCAGATGACGGGCTATCTCCCCATATATTTATCTCAATTTAGGAATTTTTGACGAAAATTGACTTTTTTTGAGGGGGGCGGGGCTTAAACAAATATAATTTATCTATAAAGAAAATCCATCTAACAAATGACGATAGATTAATCAAAACTGAATGTATAATCAATAGATATTAAAACAAAATAGAATTCTAAATCATTAAACTCGATCAATTTTTTTTAATTCCAAAAGAAAATCTATTCGTATTCTTTTCTTTTTCTTATTAATAGCTATCAATGCTGTCAATGCACTTCATGGTCGATTTTTTTCTGGTCGTACTGTTATTGGTAATTATATACCAACACAATCTTATCATAAACTTTTTCCTGAATCAGCTTCAACAACAACTCAATTAAAATCTTCGTTTTAATTAGTTGTCTGGGTTCTACAATTGACAACATCCTATCATTTCAGTCATAGAAAAAAAAAACGACTAAAATGACTATAGATATATTTATATATATAAATACATTTGTTTAAAAAAGAAAATTTGTGTTCTGTATTTGTTTGTTTGTTGTTTTTTTTCTGTAAGCCGAAATGTTTTCAAAAAATTCCTGCGTATTATTCGATAACAAAAGAAAAAAAAAAAAATTCTTGTTTTGTTCTATTGAAGATGGTTCGTGTAAAACATCAAAAACCAGCGCGTCGAAATTATCATCAAAATAAAAAAACAAACTTTTCTCATACTACTAGTTCATCTAATCATAATGCAATTCAATTAGATCAACATGGATTTTTTGTAACATTTTGTTCATCAAAAGAATCATTTGTTCGTAATGAAGTTTATAATTTATTAAATCGTTTTGCTGATCAATTATTTGGTCCAGAATTTTCCGATGAAAAAGACAATGATGAAGAAACAACAAATCTTAATGATCTTGATTCAGCATTAGAAAATGAAAAACTTAAATTAAGCAAGTCAAATAAAAAACTTCGTCGCTTTCAAATTGTTAAATCAGGTACAAAACATTCATTTTTTGTTACAACTATATTACCAATAATATCATTAAATAAACTTATTGAATTAATATTTAATACAAGTATACAAACAAAAGAACAACATAGTCGATATATTGAACGTTTATTACCAATATCATTTGTATGTAAAGCATATGAAGATGATTTAAGAAAATTAATTATAAAAAAAGAATTTGTTGAACAAATTTTATTACTTACAAATGAAAATGATACATCAAATAATACCATATGGTTTGATGTACAAGCTAAAAAATCTAATAATACAACATTAAAATCAAGTAATTTAGAAGAAATTCTTATTAATGATTTATTATCAAGAAAATCTGATGATTTAAATGGAAAAACATTTAAACGTGACTATAAAAAACCTCAAATACATATATTAATACATGTGATTAAAAATTTAATACTTATTTCAATAGTACGAAATTATGATATGTATAAAAAATATAATCTTGCTTCAATTAATTTAGTTACAGCAACAACAGAAGGAGAAAAACAACAACAAAATCAAATTATATTTAAAGATGATGACGATGATGATGATGATGATGATGATGATAATGATGATGATGACGATAATAATGATGATGAAGAAACAAATGAATAAAAAAATTTCCTTTTTTTCTCTGTATTAGAAAAAAAAATTTAAATAAAAACGAAATTAAAAATATTCGCCATTTGTTTTGATACTTTCGCAACTTACTGTTAAAGTTTTTGATTAATCTTATATGTAATGTTACGAGCGACTATTATAGTTCTATTCTCCTCTTTTTCTCGTGCTGCGTTCTCTTTTCCTCTTTCTACCCTTATATCATCGTCAATGGAGACCATAGAGGAGGGGCAAGTGTTTTGCGATCACGCCATTGTGGTCTGTCTCATCTGACTTATCGACTTACTTATATAGTCTACATACATTTGTAGTTGTCTTACTATTTACTATCTTCTATCTAGATACAGAATAATAAATTCAAAAGAAACTATATATGGCTGCAATGCTAGTCGGTAGTGCATTATCTTGTTCATCACGTTCATTAATATTATTTACTTTTGGTTGTACATTAGCTGTTGTATTAATGACTTTTCAATATGAACATAAATTATTATTATTTAATTCTCCTCGTCTTATGCTTACTTTACCTTCTTTGAGTCTCATTTCTGTATGTGGTCTTGGTGCTGGTAAGTAAAGAAAAAAAAAATATTTTCTTTTTTTAAATTTCTTTTCATTTAAATAGCCTTAGTTGGCCTTCTTTATCCAATGCTTATGACTTCTACTGATAGAACATCTATGTCTACAGATAATGATGATACTATGGAAAAATCTCGAATTTGTAAATCATTAATAATATTTGTTGGTATCAATCATTTATGTGCTGTATGTTGATGAACATAATACAAAAAAACAATGCATATAGATTTTCTTTCTTGTTTCTTTTCGTTTAGAAAATTACATTTCAAAGTGATCTTCATTTTTCTATTACAGTAGTCTGTTTATGTATAGCATTTTGGTGGTGTTTTGATAGAAGTATAACTGGTTTTACTTTTTCAAGTATTGTTTCATTTATATTAACAATGACTACAGAAATTTTATTACGTGCTGGTGCATTAAAGTAAATATATTTATTTCTTTTTTATACATAGTCCTATAAGAAATTTAATCGTTTCTTTTGTTTTCTTTTTAAGATACACGAATTCGGATTTCTATTTGAAAACATGTGTGCCTTGTCTAACATTTGCCGGTGCTATTCTAACCATACAAATAACAAAATTTCTATCTCAAGTATGTATATTGCTTTTTTTATGTTTGTCTTATTTGTCATATTATTCTATATATAGAATAATCAATCACTAACATCGAATAGTCAAATCGAACAAGAACATGTAAAGAATGAATAAGATAATTATTATTATTTTTGTTTTTGGTCTCGTTATTTTCAGTCATATTATCTTTTTGAGTTAACAGATAAATTAACTTCTATTACTTTATGTTTCATCTCTACAAATGTTCATTATTATTTTATTTATTCTTTTTTTTATGCCTGTCCGTTATCCGATCATAGCTTTGATGAAAGTTTTTTTTTTGTCTGATTCCTCTAGATTTATGTTGGTTTGCTGTTTTTTATTTGTATAATGTATGGATAGGTTTTAAATGATAGACAAATTTTTTTTTCATTTTTTGCTTCGATATATGTTTGTGTAAATATGATTTTCTATGAAAAGTTAAGTTTCAAAGTATGAATACATTATTAAATGATTTTAAAGTCACAAAATATATGTATGAATCTTTTCAAAGAAAAAGATTGAATTTTCATTTAGTAATTTATTTATTTCAAGACGTCTGTTAGAAGTATTTGTTTTTTAATTATTTTCCAATTAAAAAATCATTCATTGTTTTCATTAAAAAAAAAACTATTTTAGTCAATGGAATTTTTTTTTTAATTCGATTCATTGAAGAAATTAACAATCGGCATTCGTTATTTTGAGTGATAAAAGTAGATAAACTATATTCAATGAGGTTTTAATTGTAAATTATCTTATTTTGGACAAGACATATATGTTTGATGCATTCAAAGGTGTCTTAAAATAATAATTAAACAAGCATATAATAGAATTTGAATGAAGAGTTTCTTCGTTTTGTCTTCAGTAAAATCTTTTTTTTTTCTAATTGCAAAAAAAATACTTCGTTTTTTGACTTTTGTACTTTGATAGATATCACCCTAGCAGATGCAGATGTGAGTTTCTCATTTTTCATATTTTAAGAACATAAAGGTCATTAGGTTCCGATTCTTTTTTTAGCTTGTCAATGATAATTTACAACAGAACAAATTTTTGCCTATCATCATTAGTACTTGTCTATATAAACTAGGCAGAATTTTATCATATTTTGTTGAACAAATTTATTGTATATAAATCAATTTATATAAAAACAATTCTCAACTGAATTTGTTCGCTTTTAAATAACATTTTTTAAATATCAGAGTTAAATAATAATTACGTATGTTTTTTTTTTTTTTTATAACAAGAAAATATATGCTTGGATGAATGATGATTCATTTCAAATACGAAATTATGCAAGATTAAATGAACCATTAATTGATTAACACTCATCAATTGCATCAGTCAATAAAACAGACATTTTGCTTTTGATTTTATCTTTTCACAGACACGACATAACATTTCTTTTCCCCTTTCTCTGTGTGTATGATAAATAATGATCCAAAGACAAATCTTTCTGGTAATTCTTGATATATCAAACAAATATCTCCATCATCATCTTAGTATTGATGAATAAGTGAAAGATTTATATTTATCAAAATTTGAATATTATGTACTCCTATACAAAATCTCATTTATAGATCCAATTTTACAATTTTTCTTTGCCTACAGGTTTATATTGATGAATTTTATATTCTATCATTCAATAAATATTCGTTTGATCTTTGATCCATATCAAATTATTTTTATATAATCTTTATCAATCGATGATATATAAAATATCAAATCTTGAAATAACGGGAACCTTTATTTTGTTAAATAATATTACATTCATTTATGTTTGCTTCGATGATTTCTCGTTTTTTTTTTTTCCTGTTTTTATTTCATTTGAATTCTTTTGATGTGATTATAGACGTCGCAAGAAGAAAAAAAACCACAAATAAATGAATTGAGTTTTTGACGTTATCGTTCGTTTCAACATCGTAACATGAACAATGAGTTTTTCGCTTTCTTTCAATATATAACATCGAATAAAAAAAACGTCAGTTTAGACTAGTATCTCGATGTAATAACTGTTCTCTTTTAGACGACTATTATATATGGACAACGAAAGAGAAGAAGACAGAAAGAGAGAGAGAGAGAGAGAGAGAGAATAGAGCGAAAGAGAAAATTTTCTCCTTGCTCTTGCGATCGCATAACGTACAACGGCAGTAGCAGCAGGAAGCAACACACAACATATAAGCTCATCCTATTCTCCTCCTTGTTTCTTGTCTCAATGATGTGTACATCGTTCCAACATTCAAGTACTCTCTTTATTTAAGTGGACATAGTGACTAACAATACTTCTCGATTTCGTTTTTCTTTTCTTCTGTTGTCATACTTCGAATAATAATAATAACAACAACAACAACAGCAACAACAAATATAAATATTTAAATTTAATATATATAAATATTCTATCCACATACAATGTTTTGGACATTCTTCATTAGTCTTCTTCTCGTCATTGAAACATCGTCTTTCATTGATAATAATGGTAAGAAGATTATATAGGTTATCGTATGTATTCATGCATGAGATTAAAATCAATCGATAGTAAATGGATATTTCAGATTTTTGTTCATTTTTCTTTTGTATATTCATGTGATTATATAGAAGTAATATAAAAGTGATAATATAAGACGTAAAACTTTTCCAACGCCATAAATTCAATGTATATATAAATATATGTGTATGGTGATGATGTAAACGACCATTTTACCATATATACACACGTCGTGATAATGTTCAAGTTCAGCTGTGATTTGCATAAATCATATCTTCTTTTGTATATATATATATACGTATATCTCAATGCAAGCCGATATATATATATACGAATTGACCCATCTGTAAAATTCCTCTTAGCAATCTCAATTGTCATTATCTATTGATTGATACACTTGTTGTCGCCCACTCACTTAGATTAAGACAAGAATAGTTGACAAGTTCTCTTGATCATATATACATCTTTATTTGATAAGTTGATTTGTAGTGTAATGTGTTGAACTATCCCGTTGCGTGTTATGTGAGAAAGAGAGAGCGAAAGAGAGAAATATATATTTACCTTGAGAGAAAGGAAAATAGATTATGTCATAGGATCATCATCACTAAAGATGTTAACCGGATGCCGACTAGTAACAAGTATCACGGATCATCTGTCTGTAATTACCGTGGACAGTGGTCAATAGTAAATAGTATAATAGAGATAAATTTTCTTTTTATAAGTGTTCTACAGTTATGTAAAAATGATTTCTCATTTTTCTTTTTTATCTCGAAAGAGATTTATTTTATTCAAATAAAAAAAGAAAAGAAAGAGAAATTGTGCGCACCGCTTATGAATAGTGCTTCTCCCAATGTGACACCGATTTGCATTCCAATACATATATGTATAAATATAGGCAGACATTAGTTCATTGGGGGACGTCTGTTACGAGTTGTGAATGAATGAAGTATATGAACTGACTAATTTGATTGGGGATAACGCGCATCATTCAGTTCTAATTCGATCTTGGCGGAGAGGATTTGTCCATTTTTGTCTTTGCTGCTATGCATGGTTGATGAGCTCTACATATTGCACATTGTCCTTTAATATAACAAATCAATGATGACACTTGCTTTAGGGAAAACTTTTCGTCTTTTAAATATAATAAAATAAAATAAAGCAAAAAAAAAATATGTTTTTTTTTTCTTCTTCTTTTTGTAATCTAGAAGAAATTAAACCAATAATGGAAGCATTACATACTAATGTAACAGTAACCAGTGGACAAAAAGCAAAATTAACATGTATATTTAGTAGTACAAATCATGAATTATCACTTTCATCATCACATCAATTAATATGGATTCGACAAAGTTATGCAACACATAATGGAGATTCAATATTAGCACATAATCAAGATTTATTAATAACTGATTATCGTTTAAATATTCAACGTACAGATACTGAGTATTCATTAACAATAACTAATATTAATATTGATGATGAAGGAATCTATACATGTGAAGTTAATAGTCAACCACCACAAAAAGCATTTGTTCATTTATATGTTCAAGGTAAGTGTATTATTTTTCATGAATATCTCGTTTCAGCTTTTTTCTATGCTAGTTTTTTTTCTTAAAATGCATGATCATATTCTGCACCTGCTCTACATTAGTAGTAGAATAAAAATGAGATCTCTAAACGGAAATCATGGTTCCGACGTGATGCGCGTGTGTATGTGTTTAATGTCTATTCTAACTGTCAAAGTTAAGCATCATGCTTGAATTGAGATGATCAACATATTTCAAGCTATGATCATGCAGATATATATATACATAGAGTATTTATTGGAATTGTTTATAATATAAAGCAAAAAAGAAAATGAGAGAGAGAAAATGCGAATGATTCTTCATTTAACTGAATGCCAGACGAATCGAAGATGAAATGAAGGCGAAAGAATATATATATATGTGCGTGCTGCTACTTAATGTATTTAATGTTATGGTGGTTAGTACAATAAAGATGAAGAAAATCGGTAAATGATGATGATCGGGAGTTCTGGCGAATATATAACAGAAGTGAACTGAACCGAAAGAATATGTTTATATTTGAACGAGTGATGACATTTTGTTGTCTACAATATATATATATATATATATACGTATATGAAACAGAAACAGAGACATACACATACGGAATTGCTTTTCAACGCTTCTCTGTACTAATATAACATGCGACGAGTATCAGCGTGTCCTTTTGTTCGTCGTCAGTCATTATATATTGCTTGGAAGAACTTAATTTTGATGATCAGCTGATAGACATGCACGCTAGTGATGATGTGTGCGATCAATTATGATTTGTTAGCGTGTGATTTTATCTAGATAAATATGACAAAAAGAAGAGTCAAAGACAATAAGGAAATTGTCATGATTTTAAAATGATAGTGAGTCTTAGTTTGTAGTTTTTTTTTCTGTTGTTAGTAGATTAATCTGAGTTTGCAGAAAAAAAAAGATGATAAAATCAAAATATTACACTTAGCTAGTGTTGGACTTTTTTTTAATGACATGAAATATTATGACTGATGATTTTTCTAATCCCGAGTGTAGGAAAAGGAAATTAACTATACATTATGTTCTACATAATATGTTTGATGATTTGCATTATGATTTTTATGTAATAACTGAGCCAATAAATACTTAAGATAAATTTATTTGATCGATGGAATATAATTCATTGTTTTTGTTGAACATAGTGAATTAGAATCGGAACGATTTTAATTTGAAAATTTTGTCAATTATTTTGTAATAAAAAGAAATTAATGAAATGTTTGAATTGTTCATAAGTTTTAGTATATTTTGAATGACAAGATTTTTTGTTAATACAATTTTTTGAATATATGATTTGAGTAATATCTTTATTGAGATTAGAAGTTTTTTACGATTGAATTTCATGTTCGAATATGTTGCGAATGTAATTATCTATTGAAAAATATTTTTCGTCATTAATGATTAGAATTATATCAGAATTTTCTATAGGTATGCTAATAAAATAAATCTTCTCAACTCAAAAATATTCCATTGGTTATTTATGATTCAGAAAGAAATTATCAGAGAATTGTATTTAATTTCTCGTTTTGTATCAACATTTTTTTTTTCTTACGAAATAATATAGAGAATCTGTCGAATTTAAACATATTGAAATCAGAGTCAGTTTATTACATCTTTTTGAGCCTTATTTCTAATTTCAATAAAATGTTTTAGTTAGAATCTGATAGTCGTTCTGAAGGTGCGAAATATGAATTTTTAATGATTATTTGTATTTTACTACTATACATCCTACAGATTTCTCATGCTATCATGACAATGATTTTACAATTGTCAAATCATACATAAATGTCGCTTTTAGATTATGATCCGTTTGATTTGCCTCCGAATCATAGTTGTATTCGGGTCGAACTTCACGGGTTTTAATAGTACAAATATTTCTAATATTATTTTGTACTTGAAAATTTTCCATTTATAGCTCATTAATTGAAATCATATAATTTGTTTTGCGAAGATAAACACGATTTGATCTATTTTTATGAATATCTTATTTTGTGAAACGAAAAAATATGTTATTTTTTTGCGTTTCGATTAATTTACGTGGAAAGGATTTGCGTACGGTCACACATCATTAACGTAAAACTCGATTTACGTTAGATACACATATATATTTATGACATATGTTTTGTTATATTGCTGACTATTTCTCTAGTTTAATTCATCTTCTACTTTTGAATTAATAATGAAACGATCAGATTCAGAAGAATCTCTTTCGCCTCCAAGTCGAGCTGATGATCGTTTTTTTGTTTTGGCTTCTGTGATATTACCATTTCTTGCTGAAGGAGCTTATCTATTTGATGTTTTTCATTATCATATGCATGGTACATCCGCTAATGGTTATGAAGGTTTACTTTCATCAGTTTTAAGTGTTTTTATCTATTTACAATATAGTGCACCACTTCGATCACGTTATGTACGTTTTTCTTATCATTTAAGTTTATGGATATTATCTGAAGTTGGAAATTTTGCACATATTATATATTCTACTAAAACAAATAATGTATTACATATAGTTGTTTATACTATATGGGCAATAATAGATACAATCTATTTTATTTGTCTTATTTGTTGTCGAGTATTTTATAAACATCGTGGTCTTCATGTTCATGTGCCACTTGAACAAGAACATTTATTTAATTTCATATCACGTTTAGAAGTTATTCTTGCTTTATTTATTCCGGTATTTTTTGATACACATCTTGTAACATTAACAAGAGATAATATTGCTTTTTATATATTATTTGATTTCTTTGCTGAATCATATCAACGTTTTCGTGGTATAGCTATTAAATCAACATTATATATATTTGTTGTTATAGTAACAGTGTCTGTTGCAACAGAATGGTTACATATTGCAAAACATGAATATAAATTTGAAATAGCATCAATAATAAGTGAAATTATTGCTGCCTGTTTTTGTTATGCTTTTATTGTTATGCAATTTTTTCCGGGTAATTTTATTCGTAGAAAAAATCGAAAATATCGTCATAGAGCAAGAACATTATCAACAGTATCATCAAATACAACATCACGTCCCTCTGCTAGTGGTACGAATTACATGATTTTTAATGATATTGATTCCAACAGGCGTATTTCATATTTTTAAAGTTCTATTTATCCAATCGATTATAGTTTTATATAATCCTTAATAGAAAGAAATTTTTTACTTGAAATAAACTATTCTTTTCTATCATCGAAAGTGTAATTATCTCATTTGAATTTATCTTTCAACTTTTTTTAATTTGAATTTTTTCTATGTATAATAGATTGTAGTTTAAAACTCTTAGAATATTTCTTGAAGTCTATTTGTAGTTAACGCTCTTTTATGAATTATTGATAATAAATAAGGGATACGTTGTTCAAACCTTGATACCACTTAACTTTGAAATGACTCTAGGCAAGTTATTAACAACTATTTGTCTTGAATTACCTATCGGATAACATGCTGACTACGTTATGACATGTATGTACTTGCTCTTGCAGTTAGAGTGTGATTGATTAGTATGTATGGAAAGTGCAAGAAGTTAGCGTTTGACCGACCTTCTGTCAAGGGCTATAAGTTAGTTATAGTGAAGATATCAAGCTAGTGAATCTGCCTCTAGGCAACATCCTATACCGAAAGACAGGAGTATTTTATTTTTAACGAATAGAATGCTTTTGTTGTGGTAAAAGTGTAATCTATGATTAATCGAATTGAGAAAGAATAATTTTATCACACCGAAGAAATCGTGAAAAAACTTAATCTACATCGAAATTTGTATAGAAAACAAAAATTGAATCTCATTATTATAATCTTTCCGAAATGAATTATTATATTTTCAAATAAAGATAAACATTGCTGCAATATTTACTTTCCATTATTCATTAAGAAGTATTTTATTTTATTTCTAATATAATATTTTAATATTATACAATGAAGTAATATTAAAAGATTTTATTTATGTACTTTAAAAATCTTTAGACTCTTATAAGATCATATATACAAAACAAAAAAAGATCCAATGTCTTTATTGTAATCATACTAAATGAAGTGCCTTTTTAATATTTCAGCAGGAAAAAAAGCAATATTTTCTATATATTGGAAATGTCGTTTATTATTATGAAAAAGAAAAACAACTATTTGATTTCGCATGATTACAAAAGAAATAATATAATTGTCTTGTTTTACTCAAATGATTTTATAGACACGTTGAAAGTATTAGTATTTAATTAATCTTGATTTGTTAAGCTTGAAAATTCATGCGAACATGAATTTGACCATGCGAACCAAGACCAAATAATTTTGGTAATTTAACCCAATCATCAAAATATCCTGATGCTTTTACAGGTTCTAAATCAATTTTAGCTGAACCAACTGCATCACGACCAGCTTTACCATCATCATCATATACTTTTATATGTATATGATTTTGACGGGGTTCAACAAGACTAAAAAAGAGATATAAAAATAAGAAAATTTAATGCAAAATTTATTAGAAAATATTTTTACAATTGAAATCTTTCATTCCATTGTGGATTTGTTGAATTTGAAATAGTTTCTGTTCGTTGTTTATAATCATGATCAATATAAACTTCAACATAAGCATCAGTTGAACCACGAAAAGCATCTTCATCATCAAGTGCTCTAGCTTCAACAATAGTTACTGATAATTGTCCAGCCATTATTATTTCGAATGCAACTAAGAGAATATGCAGAGAGCAATGGGAAATCGAATAATAAACGATTAATATCGATGTTTGGTTTTTTTTTCTCTCAAGTTTTATATTTGGATAGAATAATTTGTTTTATCATGTGTGACGATAATAACAAAATATAGGTATTGTAAATAAGAAGATATAGTGTTATTTATTTCACCTTGAATTTAATTGATGGTCGGATCATTCATATATTGTCTTTATGACAATATTATTATTAGTAACAATATAGTTCGATATGAAAAAAAAGTTTAACCGTTTAACCCTTTGTTGATAGTTGGCTTTGACTCATTTATAGAAACTATCTATTTGGAATAATAAGATATCGGATCAAAACGTTTACCGAACATTGTGTAGAGCATTGAATAAGCTACAAAGAGTTCAAAAGAAATGAAATCTTTCATTATTATTTCTTGACTAAGATATATATGAGTTAGAAAATGATGTACTTTCAAATAAAAGTCAAAATCTGTGTTTTTTTTTCTCTTTAATTTTCACAAATTGATTGTTGTGATGTTGGTGAAGTTAATATATACCATTACAGAAAAAATCTATTTGAAGAATGATTATTAAAAACAAATTCTTGATTACAGATATGCAAACCACGTTTTTCATAGCAAATTGGTTCATTTTTGACTCATTTGTAGTCAGTAATATGAAAAATAGCTTTTCTAAAATTACTTCATTTTTGATATAAACTTATATATATAATCTTCATGCTAAAAGCTTTATTATAACTAATAGTGAGTTAAAAAAAACAGTTTTCGAGTATTGTAAAATAATTTTTCATTGATAAACGATAAAAACTTGTAGCTTCTGTTATGGTCTTTCTTCTAGACGAGATCTCAATGTGATATGCTTCACTTCTCAGAAATCTATCTTCGATTAGGTATATTTAAATCATATGAAATTTTAAGGATTTATTAGAGTTATAGTTGAGATATTATGGTAAAATTTTCAGTATTATATTATAATGTTTTCGAAAGATATCCAACAAATAAAGATCAAAAAAGTAGGTCATTTGACAACACAGAATTCTTAATAACCCTTGATTCTATATATATACATGTACTCTTTTGTTTTTAAGAATTTGTCAAGCATGATAGAGCATGGTTTATTTTGAAATGCTTATTTTTTAAATGAAGAAATGTTTAATGTCCTCAACCACTCAAAAAATGCTGTTCTAATCATAAAAGTATTTTCTTACATAATTGTAACAAAGCTTAATTCAGACAAAAGGGCTCTATCACGCCCTGCATGTTGACATGCTCTTTCAAATAAAAATAAAAGCGCAATTCATCACAATGCAATATCTTCGAGAATCCTGAGATGCGTCATCAAAAAAAAGATATGTTACTTTTTTTGAAAAGAACATTTTTTCAATTAGATGATGATGATAAATATCATTAAAAAATTTTTTGAAAAAACAACTAGATGTCAAATAAAATTATTATGTTATTTATGAAAGATCAAACATCGAACTATCTTTCTATGCGTTTATCTTACAACGAAAAATGACTTTTTTTTTTTTTATAGAAGGAGGATTCTTAGCAATAGGAATGAGTAATTTCGAACTGAAATTAAAATCAATAATTTCGTATTATAAAGAGAAAATGAAGATTAACGATTCCGGCATAATTCTTGAAATGAAATATCTGATTTAAATACGAAAATAGTAACTTTTGTGAATGTTTAAGCAAATGTCATCCTCCGAAATGAATTATTTTTAGAAAAGAAATATTTCATTAATAGTACTTTTTAAGCTTCATAGTGATAAAGTTACAACATAACAAAACAAAGATGTAAAACTATCAAATCAACAATAAATTCAATCCGCATGTCATTCAAGACAAATTAATTACTTATAAACTATTCCGCATCATCACAGTGAAAGGACTTTGCTCATATTGAACTATATCGCTATTTTCATAGCGGACCCAACACTAATTCCTAGCGCATGATGTCAAAGATAACATTTTTTTCCTTATTAAGAATGTACTTCCTGTGAATTGTTTATATCAATTATGATCAAATTTTGTTTATTTCAATTGATTTTGAGATCTGTGCTTTGCATGAGAAAAAAAAACTAAGAATAACTTTGGAAAGAATTTTTTTTAAACTGATCACAACAGACAAACGAGAATTGCTGGAAGTCCGCTAATTCTCAATACCGTAAATGTTTTAAACTCTGATTAGAAACTCAAGAAATAGGTTTATTCGTACTTACAAAAACACATACACATGATTGAAAATTAGCGAACTTCTAACGATTCTTCATGGCATTTGTGATCAGTTTTAAACAAATCTTTCAAAAATTATTCTTATGTTCTATCGAATATAAACAACAGATCTCAAAATTAGTTAGAATTAGTTAAAAACAAACTAAAAAATGCGAGCATTCAACTAATTTCAAAACTTTTGCTTTGTATTTCATGACCTTCGACTACAACTTCCAATAGAACAAAAAAAAATGACTATGGTTTATATAAACAATCAACAGAAACTATATTCTCAATAAAACAAAACCTGTCATCTTTTGACATTATGTTCTAGGAATTGATGCACTTGTAATATTTTCTACTGGATGAATGCCAAGAGTAAAGGGTTAAACAGTGAAAAACAAACTGTACAATTTACACAAAACACTCCTTGTGTTAGCAGAAATGATTTGTATGCATGCATAGTATGTTTAAATAGATTCAAAACTTTGTGTTTTTTTTTTTAATAATGGAAACAAAACACTATCATATTGATATAAATATTATTTTCTTGTAATGTCTACAATAATTAATTAAATAAAATATCAATTTACTGATGTGAAAAAGTTTATTTCCTTAGAATATAAATGATTATAATTAAATATTTCAGTCAACTAAAATTATGTTTGAACTATAGGAAATTAATAATACTAAGATAAAAGACATGTGTTCGTATTTTTTTTAAATTACAGATTTTTCTGTATAATAAAACTGTTGTCATAGAAAAAAATGGATTTATTTCATTTACAAGAAAACTCTTTTTTTTTTTTTTCAATATAAACGAAAATTTTTTATCTCATGTACGTAGTTAACAAAAAATATGTTCTATATAACAAAAAGCAACCTATATTATTTGTCATATTTAATTTCCGTTTAACAAAGAAAATAAAACCCTCTAATAAATAAATATATATATATATTTTTCTTGTTAGAAATTCCAATGATTATCGACAATGCCACATCATCCCCAATTATCGTTATGGAACACGATAATCTAACAATGAAATGCCAAGCTCGAGGTCGACCTATACCCTATATTGCTTGGTATCGTCGTAGTGAAGATGGAAAAAATACTAATAATAATAAAACAAGATTAGATAATCAAATTTTAGCTAATAATACTGATGGTTTATTTCATTTAATTAATATTAGTCGTTATCAAAATGGACATTATGAATGTCGAGTATCAAATGGAGTCAATGATCATGTTGTTAGTAAAGATATTGAATTACGTGTCCTTTGTAAGTAAAATAGAATATAAGCATATTTTTTTCTTTCCTTAAAGATTATTATATTTATTTTTCATAAGAACAATACTTTGATTATATCGTTTAGTTTTTAAAAATAAGCATAGACTCATATCTATTTTGAATATATTTAAAAGTATAATTAAATGAAGAATATTTCATATTAATTATTTCTAATGAATAAAACATGTGTAGACTAGCAAGAGAAAATGAAATAGATATTTTTAGTAAAAAACAACTTAACTACGCAATAAATAAGAATATTTATTATAAATAATTAAGATTATTTTTAATAATATATACACATATATATAACAATTGTTCTGTTTTTCAATACTTCTTTTTCTTTGATATATATATATATATATATGAACATTTGTTGATAATATTTTCTTTATCTATAAATCAATTTTAATTATTGCCCTTCAATAATAAAAACAACCTCGTATTTCATAGAAATGACCGTCTTCATGACCAGAAGATTTATCATTATGACGTAGAGAAATATTGCTTTTGTGCAGTCATTTCTATATATTCCCTAACGCAAATTCACATCACTCACAGATGTTTTTTATGAAAAGAGAACGATGATGATGAACAATTGTTCTTGACAGAATAAGAGATGCCGACCATCGGCCGACGGCGCGCAAAATTGCATTTGACCTCAATTATTTTCATTATCAATACATTCCAAGCAACAATAAACAAAAGCATGAGAAAAGAATAAAAGAAGGAAGGAGAACTTGACCTATGTCTATCGGCTCTATTCGAGAGAAAGGAGGAGTATATCAGGAAATGGTCGGCGCCGTCATTTAAGCTGACCGATCTGAGCAACAAAAATAGACAAGCTCTAGACAAATCTTTATTACTCATAGTTCTTTTCTTTTTTTTTAAATCTCGTTCATTAGAAAATCTAAATAATGTATTATATAGAAATAAAACGTCATTTCATAATAAATAAATTAAACAAAATGATTGTCTCGGAATACGAAAAAAAAGCCGATTAAAACATTCTACAGAGAGCATAATTCATGTCTATATGACACACATGTGTATTATTCAGGTCACCTTCAAATGAAAAGAAAAAACCATTTGTTAACAAACGCATCAAAGTATTTTAAAAATTTTATGAATGTAGAATGTAAGAATAGATTATTTTTATGATATATAAGTGCTGAAACAATTTACGTCTATGAATTATTGCATCACCTGACAACTGATCTATTTTCGGGGAACGTATTTGACATTATACGAATACGTCAATGTTGAATTTAAAATTATACAAATGACATTTATCCTTGATTGACCTTAAAAGCAAATACATCGTTTATCTTAGAATAAATCTGATGAATAAAAACGTTTTCTTTCAATTATGAAAAAAAGACTGAAAAACAAATATACATATAAATAAATTGAATCACTATCAGTACGTAATTATATCTTTAAAAAAATCATTTAGATATATTTTCATCTTTCTTTTTGTTTCTTTTTTCTGTCATTGATTGTTATTTCCCCTCCAACATCTTTTTGCTTGCTGTGTCAACTTCCAATGTCATTACTATGCCAAAAGAAAAAAGTAGGAGTAACTTGCACGCAATATATAAAAAGGGAGAAAGAGAGTAAAAGAAACAGAGAGAGAGAGAGAGACAGCGATAAAAAAAAATAAAAGAGAAAGACAAAGTCCACTGGCCAGATCGCTTATTGCAGAGTTTCTCTTTCTCTCTCTTGCCACTTCCTTCTTTCTCTCTCTCTTCTTAGTCTCTCTTTCTTCTTCGTCGCGTCTAATTGTTGTGTTGTTGTTCACTATCATCCTCGTCATCACCAGCTTTCTCTCTCCCTCTCTCTCTCTCTCTCTATCTCATTTACTCTCTCGTTTGTGCTTTCCGTTATTTCTCGCTCAAAAACACAGATGATCGCCAACATTATCTGCACGTCTACTTCGATCTGCTGACGTCATCAACACAACATCTCATACTTGAATCAAAATAGTGTCACTCGTATTTCAAAAAGCATCCTTTATTTATCAAGCATATTTTCATTTACATACATATACAATTTCATCGTACTTTTAAATTGTCTGACACTTCCTTTTCTTTTAACGAAAGCAAAGAATATGACATCCTGGTTTGTTATTATTAACATTATCCTTCTTCTATCACCTTCCTTTTTACAAGCCCGTTATCGAGCTCAATCAAAGCGACGATATTCAATGTCGGCTCACTCATTTGTGCCACCATTTCCTTCGAATAATAATAATAATAATAATATTTATGGTGATGGTGATGAGCTGCAAGGAAAAAATAATGATGATTCTTGGATTGATTCAATAAAAGTAACAACAAGTACACCATCATCAATATCACAACATAAAGCAAATGAAGAACAAATTGAACAATTTGCACGACTTTTATTTGAACGTTTAAATTTAAAAGAAGCACCAAATGTAACAATGAATGTCAATGACGATGAAGGTTTTCCATCATCAATAGTTAAACAATTAGAACAACAAGCGAAACAACAACAACGTTTCCATGACTATGAAGAAAATTATTTTTATCGAAAACAAAAAGTTCATGATGAACTAATGCCAACAGCTGAACGTGCAATTTTACCTGGTGATTATATACCAAATCATACATGTCAACGACAATTATCAGTTAAATTAAATCTTGCTGAAAATAATGTACAAAATATTGATTGTTTTCGTTTTACCAAAGAATCAAAAAGTTTACCAACAAATCAAGTTATTAATGAATTACGTTTATATATAAAAAGAAATTATTTTCATTTAAATGAACAACAAGGTACAATAACACCAGATATGTTTCAAATTTATCAAATATTTCGGCCAACATCAAATGATACAACACTAACACCACCATCTGATCTTACAGATACAATACGTTTATCAGTAAGCAAAGTTGGAGAACTAAATGACAATTGGTTTGAATTAACTATTGAACCCAATGATGAAAATATAAGTATACAAAAGATTTATAATCAACTTCTTATACCATTGTATGCACTTGCAATTGATCGTGATCTTCAATCATCATCATCATCATCGGTGACACCATCTTTTAATCGCCATTATTATCGACAATATCATTCAAAAAAACATACATCACATTCAATGCGTTCAGATAGTGATGATGAAAATAATAAACAAACTCAACAACAACTTCCATATATGTTAGTGGAATATGGTGATAAATTTGTTCCATCATCATCTGGACGTCGTGGTACACGTGATACAATAGCACGGCCAGCACGTGATTGTCTTCCAACAAGTCCATGTTGTCGACGTTCACTTACAATTGATCTTGATCAAGGTAGTAGTGCATTAAATTTTGTTATTTATCCAAGAAAACTTGATATTGGTGAATGTGTTGGTTTATGCGGTACAAGTGGATCATCACTTAAACATACAGATGTTAAAAATGCCCAACATAGAAATGAGCATAATTCAGCATACAATTTACTTATACTTCAAAATAGTTTACATTTTAATAGAAGTGCAACAAATTTTGGTCATCCATCTGATCAACATTCAACACAATGCTGTTCATATTCACGTACAGGTGGTCTCGAACTTATGTATACAACTACAAATGGTGGACCAATTATACGCAAATTTATACCAAATATGGTTGTTGAAGAATGTAAATGTGGATTACCGGCTACCATCCAGCAAGTATAGAGACAGATTGACACTGTTCTAATAAGTTTCTCGTCGTAGTCATCATTGTTGTCATTACTGTTGTCTTCATCCACCTCTGTGATAACACATCCAATACAGAAAATTTAAGGCCGGAGGGTAAGACTCACGGAAAGTTAGAAAACAAAATATACATAAATAAAAAAAATTCTTATTCGTCGAGCTCGGTGATTTCAAAATGTCTGTTTTCTTTTTTTGTCACACACTCTCTCTTTATGGTTTTCTCTCATTTTTCGTTATTGTCATATGTTGTCTGTTGTGCGTGTGTATGTATGTTTATCTATTATTTTTCTTTGCGTGGTCTAATATGTCAAGAGCACAAGTTTAATGACGTCTAAGATCTATATACTCTACTGGTCAGTCGCTGCTACTATTCTTGATTAGTAGTTTGTTTTGTCTGTTCTTATATATATTGACTTTACTTTTCCAATCGATCTAAACACTTTCGAGTGCGTACAGTAAGGCGAACAGTTGAATCGCCAAATCCAGTTGACGAAAAAAAATTTTCTTCTTCTGTTTTTCTCTAATCTTGTTCATGATCAATTGTTAATCGATCGATATCAATTAAGATATATCAACAGAAAAAGAAACTTCGTACATATGTAATCAAGACTTTAGCAGACGATAAATTAGACAAAAAAAAAGTTCTGACATACAATGAAGAGTATTAACTTGCGTATTAACAACATTTTATTTGAAGAAAAAATTCAATAAAAAGAAAAGCAGGGTCAACCGAACACTTTACTTTTATGATTTATCATAAAAGTATATAGATGGATGTGGATCATAGAGATTTCTATTTGAAAAAAAACGGAACTTGTGTAATACAATTTCACTATATTAGTGAATACAATTTTGAATATCTATTATTATTTGTTTTTTGGCACAAATATATATTTGACGTTTTCTTCTTTATGTTAGTTCCTTGTGAGTGAACAAATTCCATAAGTTATTATTTTTTTTCTTTCTTTTAATTTGTGTAACAAATAATATCATCTTTTTGTTCTGACTCTTCTTCATTTTTCTTGCGTATGAGAGTATATACATGTAATTGTGTGTGTGTGTGTGCGTGTATGTGTGTATATTAAAGAAACATAACTATCGTCGTCGTTCGATGCAAAAAAAAAATTTGATATCTTTCGAACTAATATTGCTGGTGCCCTTGCTTGCCAAATGTCATTGTCGACTGTGACAACAAAAACTAAGAGATACATATATACTTGATAGGTTGAAATATATGTCAAAGTATATATCAACAATTATATGAGAAGATGGATATAAGAATAGTAAAACATATATGAAGGTCAAATATGTGATTGTTGGAATATAAAAACTTGATACATGATCTTATTAAAATTCATTTTTTTTTTACATTTTTCTCGAATTTTTTCTCTAACTATTTTTTTAGATAGAGGTCATATGATACAATCAGTAGAGTAAATTAAGGAGTTCGGCTGTGTCGTTTGAAATGATTAGAATGATCTATGTGTTTATTATGTCTCACGACAGTTGAAAAGAAGAAAAAGGAAGACGACATATTCTAACACTCGAAACAATTAAGATCGTTTTACTTATTTATGCATGATCAACTGTGTGGGTTTACATAAGAAAAGAAAAAAATCTTATTCGTGATTTATGAGAAAAATAGAAGTAAATAAATCATGCACCTGTTTGACTCACGCAAACTTTTAATTGCAAATATACATACAAATAAAAAAAAAAAAAAAAAAGAATAATTCTAAAAACAAAAAGAAGACGAATATGTCTATTCATTACATTTTATCTAAAATTTTTAATCCATTGACATTTGTCTATACTGAATTTTTATTTAAAAAAAAAGACATAGTATAGAAGGTCATAGGTGTGAGTTCTTGAATTTTATTGCCTCTTGGATTTTATATGCATACATAAGATTAATATTTCTCGTCCGATTAACCTTGAACAAGAGGAGACTCTAATAAACATTTGTATGCATATAGCCTCTATCAATTTATTTCATATGTATTCAAACAACAAAAAAACGCGTTATGACCTTGTTAATGATTATATTCTAGTTATACCATCAATTCGAGCACAATCTACACTTATTCATAGTACAATTGGAAAATCAACACATTTACGTTGTTCAGCTACAGCACCATTTGATACATTATTATATTGGCGCCGTATTGATAATCATAATATATCAAATCAATCAAATAGATTTCGTCAACAACAACATATACATGGTCATCTTTTACATACAACTTTATATATAAAAGATGTTGAAAAAACAGATTTTGGTTTATATGCTTGTTACGCTGAATCTAAAGCTGGTCAAAGCAAATCTATTATTGAATTGAAAGGTAAAAATCTATATTTTGATATATAGTTTTTTTTTTTTTTAATATAAATAATTGTTTTTGTCTAATTAAAGAACATCATCGTCCATCAACAACAATAACAACAACAATTAGTACTACAATTATATCTCAAATATTAGATAAAGATGAATTCATTATAATAACGACAACAACACGTGCACAATTACTTAAACGAAATAAAAGTAAAATTTCAAAAACAAATTTTAATTCAAAAAAAAAAAAAAACTTGTCTTTCTTTTTAATTATATTTAGTTTCTGAACAAACAACAAATCTTACAAAAACTAATTTTGCGTCATCATTATTTATGTCATATTATCTATTAATTTTAATAATGTTTTTTCTTTATTTGTAATAATAATAATTTTTTTTTCTATAGTCTTAACGTAGAATAAATAAATGTCTTTATATGTTGTTTCTAATTATTGTTTATTTGAATGAAAAAAAAGAAAACGATGACTAACATGAGATAAAATAAAATTTAGAAAAACATCTAATTAACTTTGTTTTTTTTGCAAAAAAAAATGCTAAATAATCAATCGGATCTTTCCATGAATTTCTTTCAACAAACTCACATGGGAAAAATGAGTTTAATTACATTAATGAAAAATTTACCAGATAAGAAATTACCAAATATCCCAGAGATAATCTATGATAAAAATGGTCGATATTTAAAACTAAAAGAAGATAATAGTATTAAAAAAATTTTTATCAAGAAATCAATTAAACAAATTGAACGAGATAATGAATCAATCAACGATATTATTCAACAACGAAGTGTTTCAGGTTAATCAAAATAGTTTATTTCTAATATTAGATGACATATATCTTCTTATATTTTTTGTCATATTCAGATTAGATTTCTTTTTTTTTTTTTTTATCTACTTCAATGAGTCAATTTTTTTATGATTGTATGACAGTTTAAGATCTAAAGAATTATAGAGTTCAGGCTATGTTAAAAAATTATTAATTTAAAATCTTTTCTAAACATTATCCATATCACGAGACCGGACCTTCGAATCTCACGCGAGAGATAAATTACACGTGATTAAAAAACAATGAAGTACTTTTTTATGAAAAGATGTAATTTAGAAATGAGATTTTTTTTCCCTTCTAATAAGACATTCATAGTTTTGCAATTCAAATGTAATTAAAAATATAATTTAATTTTCTTCATTTTTTTTTTCTTCTATAATTAAATTCTATCCGTATAATTTTCCATAAATTATACATAAATATAAAATAATGATTTTTGAAAATAAATTTTATTTGTTAGGTTCACCATCATCATCAATCGAACAATCAATATCAAAATTATCAATTGAACAACGATATGATTGTATTGCAAATGAATTTAAACTTTCATCATGTGATATTGAAAAACAATATCAATTAGCATTAAGAAATCGTATTGAAATTCCACCGATTTTAATGCGTCGTATTATAATTGATGCTATTAAAATTCTTCATATAATGATTGATGATTTAAATCAAGATATTGTAAAAAATAATGAAAAATTTAGACGAATTTCAAAACGTCTTAATGAACTTGAAACATATGATAAATTATTTGATCATCATTGTTAAAAACATTATTTATTTATAATTATAAAAGAAATAAGACACTCTTCAGAATATTATATAGATTTATTCAAACACAATCTGATAAAATTACTTAGAACTATTTATATAATTAAAAAAGAAAAGAAGTTTTTTTTTAGTGTCATACACAATGAGATTTGATGAAAATTTAATTCATCTATTTTAATAAAGTATAACAAAGATTTAAATATTGTGTTTTTCCTTATTGACATTTAGTCTTATTAATAATATAATTCCACTCATTCAAACTCAAAGGCTTACTCTTCAAATTATATGTTTTTCTCGGAAAAATGAAAGTTCATTTTATGTAGAATATTTAAGTTCACATGAACAACAAACAAATACGATATAGTAAATGTTGACATTAATCACCAACAAAAAAAGAACATTATTTTCAATACAAGATGACCTTCTAATGAAACATATAAAGATTGAATTAAACATATTGTGATAAAAACTTGATATCATATCTGCAAAATCCAAATTTGAAATTTTATTGATTTTGAAAAATATTAATCAGAATATTTTGTAAAATTCAATTAAAAAAAACCGCCTGATATAACATGAATTTCGAGAAGTTCAATATCTCAATAATAGCACTTGAAATACTTCCACAAATAATATGTGTTGATTAATTTTCTTCTAATGATAGATAATATATTTATTATTTGAATGTTAATAGGTTTATTTGAAAGCTCTTTCTATGGGATATTTTTAACTCATATGTTGACATTTTAAAGGCAATCGATTTCTAAATATTGAAATTTAGCCTTAGAAATGAAAGGATCCATTAGAAAAAATAATCAATGAACAATATTTTTATTTTATAATATTAACAAACTATTTATAAAAGTAAATCGAAGCTCCTACATAGATGTTGGCACATATATTGGAGCAATATCTTTAATTTTCTATTCCATATTCAAATATTTCTACAAAAAAAAGCAATATTTTTCAAGAGTTTATTTCTAAAAATCTAGTGACATAATTATCTTTGATTATTTATTGAAATTTATGATATATGAATGAGAAAATTTAAACATAAAACATAAGCAGACAACCGACAAATACCCATTGTCTGGAAAAAATAAGAACAAAAAAAAAAACAAACGATTTTCTATTATTAAACTAATTCTCAACGGATTCTCAACATTTAAAAAAGCTAAAGACAAATATATGTTACTATTTTCAGTAAAAAATTGATTATGTCAGAGAAAATAATTATCGCGTCTGCAGCTTTCGCATAGTTAATAAAAAATTCTATACTCAATGGAATATTTAATTAGAACTTTTATATAAGTTCTAATTATATATATATGTCTAATGAAAACGCTTAAAGCACATTCTTTTATATTCTATAAAAAAGAAACCTTGAAATTTTGAAAGATAACAAAAATAGAAAAACAAAAATCTCGAATTAATATATATTATAATACTTCAAAATTTTTCGATTGATATGTCACGGATGTTTACACTCAAAGCTTAATTATTGTCAAAATATAATATCGAAAGAGTTTTATGAATTCGAACGACTTCCTTATTTATTAAATATATATCCTCTAAGTGAATTATTTTTTGAAGTAGAATCTGTAGTATAACATACGAATAAACTTCGAGAAACAAGAATTTGACAGCATTGACTTCTAGTAATTGTCGAAAATCTGTATTCAATAGAGTATCTTGTTGGTGATGATGCTTGTTAAAACTGTTTGAAAAAAAAAACGAAAATATTGAAAAAAACACAAATCATGTATGACAATCAAAGATAAATTTGAGTTTCTTATGGTCTCTTTCCTTAATCATATTTTGTTTTCGTTTTCGAATTACCATGCTTAAAATCTTGTTTAATCATGAACAGCAAATTACTATTGAATTACGTTACCAATTTTTTTTATAGCTTTATCTTTTCCGTTTTTTTCTATTTTAATATTACCCAACAAGAAACTCTTCACAAAGTTTTTTAACTATAATTTAAAACTTTCCTATGATTTAACTAATTGATCCGTTTATATATTTACTCGAGACATTTGTAGGAAGTTCTTAATGACGGGTCCAGATACGTTTTGTTCAGGTCATCAATGAGCTTTTTATTAATCTCGTAAAGGCGATATGTGTATGTCAGTTCTTAAGACCACGAAGATCATATGATGCCTTTCTTGAGTATTCCCCAAAACTCAATTAAGTAGTAGCATAGAAAATATTGCACGAACATACGCGACTTGTCATACATCGCTCTATATCTCTCCAATAACTCATATATCGTCTATGCTAGCACTTAGTTGAGTTTCCAAGAAAATCCTACAGAAGCATCTAATTGTGGGTATGTATCTGATTCACGTCAGACAAGGTTGTTTTAGAAACGATATGTTAATGCTTTTGAGCTTTGGTTTCATTTTCGATTATTTTATCTTTCTTTATTTACTGTTTATGTTCGTGATTGGAACTATCTTATGTTTGATTTGGTGCTGTTTTTTATGTACTCGTGTTTCTTCTGTTAACTCAATGTGATATACTTTTTCTTTTTTATGTCTTCACTGGACAGTCATGAGATCTAGTATAATAAAATACGAAACCATAGAAAAGTTTTGCTGTTTAATTGAAAAATCAATAAGCAAAAGAATAAAAACTACGGTCGTATGATTAACAAATCGATCAATCAAACAATATGCAGAACAGTTTTTATCGTTATCGTATATCATATAATACCTGTTTAATTTTTCAGAGAGTTGTGTCGCATAGGCTATCCAGTAACAATTATACTGTACAATAAGCATCACCGGTTACATTGCATTCATATAGAATCATAAACATATTCATTATATAGAGAGAAAACTACGCTCCAAAAGCCTAAAACAAACTTAACAAAAGTCTATCCAATTAAATGATAGTGCTAACGACCTATTACCAAAAATCTATTGCAAAAAACTTCGATAATACGAGAAATCATTTTAATCAATAATTGTGACTTCTATTATTATGGGAGGAAATAAGTGAAGATAAATATATCCTATCGAATGATATATGGATGAATCCGTGGGGTTTCTACCACTCTTGTGGAAAAAGTTTTTTTTCTCGATTTTGATATTCTAGTTAGACGTATCTTCATCCAAAACGGTCAGAGGTAACAAAAGAAACATTTAATAATATATAAAGTTTGGAGCTCCAGATCATTTTGTAGGAACACCTCAATGCATATATGCATTGTACTTCTGTCACATTGCACAATGATGAAATTTTTAGCGTTTGTAGAGCTTTTAATTCTAAGCATTTTGATAAAAGAAGTTTTCCGAAAAGCTTTTGTTTTGAAGGAAATATATTCAAAATACTAAGTAGTGAAAAACCAAAAAACGATTTTTTTNACATTGCACAATGATGAAATTTTTAGCGTTTGTAGAGCTTTTAATTCTAAGCATTTTGATAAAAGAAGTTTTCCGAAAAGCTTTTGTTTTGAAGGAAATATATTCAAAATACTAAGTAGTGAAAAACCAAAAAACGATTTTTTTGTGCAATTTTCACAAACTGTTTTTTGATAGTTCCTTCAACTACGTATAGTGTTTTAAGTCTATCTTCATCAAAACAAAAGCTTTTCGGAAAACTTCTTTTATCAAAATGCTTAGAATTAAAAGCTCTACAAACGCTAAAAATTTCATCATTGTGCAATGTGACAGAAGTACAATGCATATATACATTGAGGTGTTCCTACAAAATGATCTGGAGCTCCAAACTTTATATGTTATTAAATGTTTCTTTTGTTACCTCTGACCGTTTTCGACGCAGATACGTCTAACTAGAATATCAAAATCGAGAAAAAAAAACTTTTTCCACATTGTGGTAGAAACCCCACGGATTTACCCGTATATTATTGATTTAATGACATTCAATATTTCATTTCGATTTTATTTAAATTTTTTTAAATGTAAGAGAACATTTTATTAGACATTAGAAAAAAAAACTTTCTTATGTGTAAAACCAGAGGAATTGAATAAACATGAAGAAAATTCAGTTTTTTTCGAAACCCATTCAATTCGTTATTGAAGAGCATTGTCATTATAGTTTACAAATCGACATTCTTTTTTTATATTGCTTTATTATTCGAGAATACTTTGTCAAACTCATTCGATTTAACCAACAAATACCTGAACTGAACGTCAATTTAGTGTTATAAGACTTACATTCACTAACAGAAGAATTTTGTTTAGATCGAAAAATATCGAATAGTAAATTTTGTGTTCAAGTTGTTACGAAAATGAATTATCTAATGTAAATGTTCTTGCCTTTTATTGTAAGTATCACTTATTCCTTGCATTTTCTTTTATCTCTTCGTTGTACGCCTTATCATTTTGTTGTTTTTAGTATCATGATTACATTTTATGACAGCGTTCCGATTGAGAACATATAACGTTCCTGATAAACTCCTCCCTTTGAAATCTATAGGTAAAATGTCATTTCCAAATTCGTCTTTACATATATCTTTAACTAATTGCAGTTCATATTTAATCATCGGTTAAATTGTACGGTGTGGACACGGGTGCATAGAAGATGTATAATGTCACGCGCGTACACAAACACACCCACCGACCAACATCCTTCAATTCTTGAGTTTCATTTTAAAGAATATACAGATGATAATCTTACTTGTATAGAACTCGATATTAAGTTTAGAGAATGCTGAAAAACAAAGTATTCTATTAAGTAATCATTTTTTTTCTCAAGTTATGCTCTTGTATGCTAATTGTCATATTTCTTTTGATGAGGTAAATTTTAGATGATTATTCAATTAATAAAATATTGAATTGGAATCTCTTCAGGAATTAGTCACGAGCGAATTCTGAAAGTTTATTATGGAACGGATTTTTACCAATTAACAAGGATCCTAGTCGAAGACTAATCCGAACTTGTTATTATTTTATCTTTATAAATATTAATTAAGTGAACAACGGAAACTAGAATGATACACGAATATCAACTTATAGAATTAAATATAT